TATCAAAGGCTATCCAGTAACCATGAATAGATCACACTATCCATACACCCTTCCCATAATACCCTACACGGCCATCTACCTACCTTGAGGCTACCTTGAGGTGCTTCCGGGGCTTAGTGTCCCCGCGGCCCGGTCATCGACCAGGCCTCCTGGTTGCTGGACTGGTCAACCAGGCTGTTAGACGCGGCTGCTCGCAGCCTGACGTATGAGTCACAGCCTGGTTGATCAGGTATCCTTTGGAGGTGCTTATCCAGTTCTCTCTTGAACACTGTGAGGGGTTTGCCAGTTATGCCCCTTATGTGTAGCGGAAGCGTGTTGAACAGTCTCGGGCCTCTGATGTTGATAGAGTTCTCTCTCAGAGTACCTGTTGCACCTCTGCTTTTCAACGGGGGTATTCTGCACATCCTGCCATGTCTTCTGGTCTCATGTGGTGTTATTTCTGTGTGCAGGTTTGGGACCAGCCCCTCAATTATTTTCCACGTGTAAATTATTATGTATCTCTCCCGCCTGCGCTCAAGGGAGTACAGATTTAGGCTCTTTAGTCGGTCCCAGTAATTTAGATGTTTTACTGAGTGGATTCTAGCAGTAAAGGATCTCTGCACGCTCTCTAGGTCAGCAATTTCTCCAGCTTTGAAAGGGGCTGTCATTGTGCAGCAGTACTCCACTCTAGATAGCACAAGCGTTTTGAAAAGTATCATCATCGGTATAGCATCTCTAGTGTGAAAAGTTCTTGTTATCCAACCTGTCATTTTTCTTGCAGTTGTGACGGCTACTTTATTGTGTTCTTTAAAGGTAAGGTCTTCCGACATGAGTACACCCAGGTCCTTTACATTGCCTTTTCGTTCTATGTTATGATTTGCCTGCGTTTTGTACGTGGTTCCTGTTTTTATGTTTTCAATTTTTCCGTAGCGCATGAGCTGAAACTTATCCTCGTTGAATACCATATTATTTTCTGTAGCCCATAGAAAGACCTGATCAACATCTGATTGGAGGTTTGCCGTGTCCTCTATGTTGCCAACTCTCATGAAAATCCTAGTGTCATCTGCAAAGGATGATACAGTGCTATAGGTTGTGTTCTGGTCTATGTCCGATATGAGGATGAGAAAAAGTACTGGAGCAAGCACAGTACCCTGGGGGACTGAGCTCTTCACGGTTGATGGGCTGGATTTTATTTTGTTGACTATTACACATTGGGTTCTGTCAGTCAGGAAATTGTAGATCCATCTGCCTATTTTCCCGGTAATTCCTTTTGAACGCATTTTATGTGCAATAACACCATGGTCACATTTATCAAAAGCTTTTGCGAAATCTGTGTAAATTACATCAGCGTTTTGTTTGTCTTCCATAGCATCTAATGCCATATCATAGTGGTCCAGCAACTGCGACAGGCAAGAGCGCCCTGTTCTGAAACCATGTTGTCCGGGGTTATGGAGATGCTGTGATTCCATGTATTTTGTGATCTTACTTCTTAGCACTCTCTCAAAAATTTTTATGATGTGCGATGTTAGTGCTATCGGTCTGTAATTTTTTGCCTCTGCCTTATTTCCTCCTTTATGGAGTGGTGCTATCTCTGCTGTTTTTAGTATGTCAGGGATAACGCCAGTATCTAGGCTTTGTCTCCACAGAATGTGAAGGGCCTGCGATAGTGGTTTTTTACAGTTCTTGATGAATATGGAGTTCCAAGAATCCGGGCCTGGTGCAGAGTGCATAGGCATACTGTTTATGGCTTCTTCAAAATCTAGTGGGGATAGGGCGACGTCTGATATGTGATTTGATGTTGGTATCATATCCATGAAAAATTCATTTGGGTTATCAATCTTTAGTGCATTTAATGGCTCACTGAAAACAGAGTCGTACTGCTTCCTCAGTAACTCGCTCATTTCTTTGTTGTCATCTGTGAAAGTTCCATCTCCCTTTCGCAGGGGCCCGATACTAGATGTGGTTTTTGATCTTGATTTTGCATAGGAGAAAAAATATTTCGGATTTCTCTCTATTTCACTGATGGCCTTTTGCTCTCTTTGCCTCTCCTGGGTTTTGTATGATTCTTGTAGCTTGAGTTCAATTGTTTCTATTTCTCTACCTAACCTTCTTCGCCGTTCTTGAGATAGGGTGCGACTCTCAAGTTGTTCCGCGATTCGTTTTCTTCGCCTATATAAGGGGCGCCCTCCCCAAGCCCTCTGCCCGACACCATGTCTCACGTTGCTATCCATCTCCTGTTTGTTTTGGGTCTCTGTGCTGGTAGTGGCACTTCTTCCTTGGTACTTATTCTCATTCCTCGACAGCTGGGCGTCGCTGAACCTCAAGCCATAAACACTGGGTGAAGTTTCTTCAAGTTTCTTGCTCTCTTCCTTCGTTTTGTGTCCCTTTCATTTAGATAATGAATTTAATTCAACTGTCTTTTTTTTTACCAATATTATCAGCACCATCTTCGTACTAATCAGGGTCGTACTCATCTTCTACATACTCATTACCTTTATACTCTTCATCATATCACCAACAAAAGCAGAAACAGTACCTGTAATACACCCAAATGTAGCAAAAGCAGAGGACACAACAAACAGTAGCGAAGACAACAACAGCAAAATCCAATGAAATGATCGCGACATTCAAAATCTTTACTGATACTGACAAAGTAGACCAAAAAAAAATTGTTTAATATAGACAAGAGTAGATGGTAAGAAGGCGAGTGAAATAATGATTTGGAAGAACCACTGCAAATGCAATGCAAGAACAAACTTTACACCAGTATGAGAAAGAAAGGTACTCAAGGGTAACACAACAAAAATACCTAAACAATAATTCAGAGAAAACTTATGTAATAAGATACTTGAGAAAGAAGTGAGATAAGGAGACCCTCCGGAGAAATAGAAACAGAAGTGAACCTCGTATGGGTTCTCCTTGTATGGGCCAATAGGCCTTCTGCAGTTACCTTCATTCTTATTTTCTAACCGATAGAGCGATTTGAATTCATGTCTGAGACGGTTGTCCGCTAATGGCTCGTGTCGAGTACATATAGCAATCAAACAGCAATCCAGGGTGCCTGACAGCTGGGTGGACAGCACTTCGGATTCATAGTCCGGAGGATCAGGGTTCGATCCTCGGTGGAAGCGGAGACAAATGGGCAAAATGTTTCTTTCACTCTGATACCCCTGTTACCTAGCAGTAAATAGGTACCTGGGAGTTAGACAGCTGCTACGGTCTGCTTCCTGGGGGTGTAACAAAAAGCAGGCCTGGTCGAAGACCGGGCCGCGGGTGAGAACATTTGGACGTAAATAGGAACTGTAAATTGGAGTTCAGTTACAATAGAGTATTCCCATAACCAATGCACCCAGAGTTTGCCAGTGCAAACTACTCATCACATGCCTTTGAATGACTAAACATCCTGTGTGATGGGAATTTTTAGCATCACGTAGCTAGTTTTTTTATAAACTATACTCCCCTTTATATAGTATAGAGCAGCTGTACAAATACACATATACCAAAATATGTTAATAAAAAACCCTAATAATTACTGTATTGACTATAGTGTTGTTGAGGATATCTTAATGCCTCCAAAATTTATATGTAGGCTACTGATAAACATTATACCAGCGCCTAACATGCATTATTAACTTGGGTTAGACATGTTAGCCGCACAATTATTAACAACATTAACAGTGACCAGCTACAAAGGCTGAAGGCCGAAGGTTTAACCTGCATGAGCGTCACATGAACGAGTCGCACAAGTGTTCAGTAACCTCCATCAATACTCATCACAGGACGCCATGAACACGGTACCTGATGGGTGATTGAACTCACAGATGTTAACTCGAAATGCTATACTTATCCAGCAGAGAAAATATAACTGGTCTCTGGTTATTGATCTTGTGTTAATCAATGTAAAAGTAAAAGGTAGGACAATTTAAGGAAGAAAAGCAAAAATAATCCATGTAAGGGAAAGTGAAAGGTAATCGTAGAGATAAAATAATAATTTCGTAATACCACAATTTAACAAATTACTCTGGAATACTTAAGAGCGATCGTGAGATGGAAGACAGGAAGTTCAAACTAAATTACGGAACCAAGGCAATATCCTATCCATACCTTCTTTTGCATACGAAGCACAGTGTATCATGCATAACGTAGCCTGAGTCTACATTTAGGTACATACAGCAATCACACACACATTAATACTCAATATATCAAAATGCATGAACCCATTGTAATCTCCATGTTGCAATTGCGCGTTGCCCTGAAAAGTCAGTAATACATGTTGAAACAACCGACTCTTGAGTAATATACGTTGAAAGAGCACCTGACATTTTAGAAATTACTGATATTTTTCGTTACTTTTCAAAATATTAAATATTATTTGAGGTCAAAGCACTGTACCTTTGCAAGGGTGCAATTACTTGTTTTGTGAAGTGATTCTTCATTTCACAGATCCCCCTCACTCTCCATGTCTTTACCCCCTGGGTTCGCCTGGGTACCCCTGGGTACCCCCTGGTCCCGGGTTCGATCCCAGGCGCCGGCGAGAAACAATGGGCAGAGTTTCTTTCACCCTATGCCCCTGTTACCTAGCAGTAAAATAGGTACCTGGGTGTTAGTCAGCTGTCACGGGCTGCTTCCTGGGGGGGGAGGCCTGGTCGAGGACCGGGCCGCGGGGACACTAAAAGCCCCGAAATCATCTCAAGATACCCTCAAGATAACCCCTTCGTGTCTATGTCTCGCAGATGAGTGTAAATAATAACTAACTCGTGTCTATGTCTCACAGATGAGTCTAAATAATAACTAACTCGTGTCTATGTCTCACAGATGAGTCTAAAATAATAACTAACTCGTGTCTATCACACACGTGAGAGTTGGACAACGCCTGAGAATAGACTGATAACTGAGCATTCGTCTTCAGTGCAAGAAATTTATAATTAATAATATAGGTGACACTTTGATAATTACACACATACTGTACTGAGATGTGGTTATACGGCTGGATAATTGATTATTCTTTTACGTATTGGCAGATAACGGCTTACTTGATGACTTGCAAATTCCCTACCGTCTTGACGAGTTTGTCGAGTGTCTGGTAAGTCGATCAGACACTAGCTTATAAGTAAACGTTTCGTGCCAAACATATTTAAATGGGTACGTCTAATACGCTTAAGAGAGAAAGCAATATTTCCTCCGTACTGGTAACAGTAACGGGTGAGAACATGGAGATTCCGGCACGGGCCTGAAAGTGTTACGTGAAATTCAGGCACAGCAAGTTGAGGGCTAAGAAGTGCCAGGGGAGGGCCAGAAGGTGCCAGGTGAGAGCCAGTAAGTGTCAGGTGCAATGAGAGAACCTATTCCCAATCAAAAAGGAACCTTACACACACACACAACTCACATGCGTGTATACCTTAAACACGTGTGTACGTCGAGCGAGTGTTGTGTGTACAGAGAAAGTGGTCACAAACTGCACGATCCTGACCTTAATTAATGCCGGCGGGTTGATGTCAAAACAGTCAAGAGTCGTCACCAGAACCACAGTTACACGGTAACTGGCAGCACACCCTACACCCCCGTCCCCCCCAACACTCTACCTCGCAACCTGTCCACAGGGTAGACTCGTCCACCCAGCGACCGACCCCAATGACCTAGTCATCCGTCGTACAGTATATTCAAAACAAACTATTTTTTTAATACGTATATTAACATTATTATATATTAGAATTTGGAGTATAGTTAGACCTAAATTAGATTAGCTTAGGTGCTTATGTTCTGTTGACAATTATTTGCATTTCAACTCATTCTGAGGTCGTGTTCGTCTAGGCTTTGGCCGACCCCAAAGGCGCATTCAACACTATAAACTTACTTTATATTCAAAATTTGTACTTTTCAAATATAAATTATTATTATTATTATTATTATTATTATTATTATTATTATTATTATTATTATTATTATATTTAGGTTTCGTGTACTGTTAGGCGAAGATTGGGTTATAAGTTTAGGTTATTTTGGTAATTATTTATAAGTGCAGTATGTGGGTGAAGCATTAAGCGAGCTGTGACTCAAACATAGGGCGAGAGCTCGAAAAAGGTCGAGACTGTTCGAAAAAAAGTTCGAATGTCATCAGATGTGAGTCGCGTTTAAACAGTTTTTCGTTAATAAACAGGGGGTTTGACGGCTGCATAACGAGCACTTACTCATCAGGTACTTAGTGGCCAACGATGTTACGCAATTCAAGAGTTCCTCTCATCAGATGCTTCGCAATTCAAGAGTTCCTCTCATCAGATGCTACGCAATTCAAGAGTTCCTCTCATCAGATGCTACGCAATTCAAGAGTTCCTCTCATCAGATGCTTCGCAATTCAAGAGTTGCTCTCATCAGATGCTACGCAATTCAAGACTTCCTCTTATCAGAATCTACGCAATTCAAGAGTTCCTCTTATCAGAACCTACGCAATTCAAGAGTTGCTCTCATCTGTTTCCAGAATTGTGACATTTTTGAGCGAGTGACACAAGGCTTGTGCCGGCAGGAGGCAAAATGCATCTATCAAAGGAAATCAGATTTTATTGCTTCCAAATGGATAGCCAGACCTTTTTACACGGAGACGGGAGTCTTAGTGGGGTCAAGACGGACGGTCACCAGTGCCATTTCACCATTACCTGCTGGGTAATTGAACTTGGTCGTTGCAGTAGTGTGTGTGTGGGGAGGGTTGCTGGGTGGTGGGTTGCATAACTGATTAATAACATTGACCTGTACCTGCCTGCCTTGCCAAATAGGGAGACATCTGCGTCTTTTAAAAGTTGGAAGCCAGACGCTCTGGGCTAGCCTCATCCAAATTTTGTAGTGGAAATGGTGTGGGGTACGGGATAGACAGAGGTTGGTTTTGTAGGCCTAAGTTAAATGCTTTATGAAATTTAGCGAGTAACTCAACCCCCCCCCCCCCCCCCCCGAGCGATTTTCATGAAATCTGAAATGAATCTGGGGTGTAATTGGGAATGTGAGTAAGCAATCACTTTACTAACTCTCGTGTTCTTGAGGACAACCACATAATGCACCTAATAGCCTGTCAGTGGAGGCTACTGATCACATGGCCCTGAATAATTAACCACCCTGCGAGATGAGGACTTTTCAGTATCACTGCTGCCTTATTCACTCCTGTGTTCTTGATGATATCCTCATAATGCACGAAGAGTGTGCCAGTGAAGACTACTCATCACATGGCCCTCAATAACTAACGCTCCTGTGTGATTTTTTTTAGCATCACGTAGCTTGAAACACTCTGTACTCCCCTTCATATAGTCTCGGGTATCTGCACACATGCACGTGTACCTAAATGTATCTGCACACATGCACGTGTACCTAAATGTGTTAATACAAAAACACGCAGTTTATCCATGAAATTTCTTAATAATATTCTTTCTGAGAGAAGGGAAAGCGGGAATGGAAGGGCGGGGAGGTGGGAAGGGACGAAGGGTGAGGGGTGGGACCAAGTGGGATGGGTGAAGGGGAGAAGGAGAGAGGACAAAGTTAGGAGATATAGGTTGTTTCAGTCCTTAATAATACATTAATAATACATTTTCAGAAAAGGGTGGGGAAGTGGGGGGGGGGAGAGGGACGAACGGTGGGCCTAAGGGGATAGGGACGAGGATGTCAAGAGGGAGATGGGAGGGAAGAGACTATCCCGAGCCAGCCGCAGTCCTACCAACTAAGGTTCGAGCACCCACAATAAATTGCAAACCACAATAAACAATATCTTGGTTAGCAATTTAATTGACTAGGTTTATGGATGTCCTAACACCTTCATGCTCAACATGAACAATGTTCGGAACATTATTTAACAACACTTTAATGTAGGTTTCATCCGAAAATTTTGTTTAAATTATACACTTACACATATATATTGGGTCTTTCCTTCACCTTTCATAATAATAATAATAATAATAATAATAATAATAATAATAATAATAATAATAATTATGATAATAATTCTGAGTCGAATGATAATGGTATTAAGAGATTTGTCGTGAGTGTGACATCTGCACAATGTCCCACTGTTTTCATTGACCCCAGACCCGACCCGCCCACGTTGAGCACGTACCCAACAGCAATTTCTGTGAAAAATAATGAAGCTAGCCCCAAGCGTCATTATATTTCTCCTCCTGCCTCCAACCCTGGACAGACATTCATACAGACAGAAATAGACATTTCAATGTATGTAAATATACTGTAGTGTGAGCAGGAGGACTACTGTGAAATGTGTATTTGCAGAAAACATTCATTACGATTCACATAAATATAAAATGCAGCAAACAGGAAAACTGGAGAAAGCGCAACAGGGAAAGAACAAAGAGATACGAAGCGACAAAGACGAATGAAAATTTTATTGCAAGATATTTGCTTGACACAGTATTTTTAGAGACGGGTGTCAAACCAGACGGGATTATGACTTTATGCGTGGGGAAATCGTTGTCGGCGTGGAGTTGTAGTGGGCGTGGGGAAGTTGTGGTGGGCGTGGAGAGTTGTTATAGACGTAAGGAAGTTGTGGTTTGCGTGGGGAAGTTGTGGAGGGCGTGGGGAAGTTGTTATAGACGTAAGGAAGTTGTGGTTGGCGTGGGGAAGTTGTGGTGGGCGTGGGGAGTTGTTATAGACGTAAGGAAGTTGTGGTTGGCGTGGGGAAGTTATAATGGGTGTGGGAGAATTGTTGTGGACTTGGACGAGTTTTGGGGAGTGTGGGAGATGTTGTAGGCGTGGCGAAGTTGTTATGGGCGTATTTAGTGCGTGGGAGAAGTATTAACAACATCAAAAAAATGAATTTTCATCAAGCATTTTCACGATCATCATCCAGCATCACCAACATCAATTCCAAGCAGCAATGCTACTAACACAATCACCATCATCAAAGAGCATGACAATCATCGCCATGCAACATTGTCATCACCATACAACATCACTACGTAACTTCATTGTTACTGGTGGACGAGTCACCAACAGTAACGGAGCAAAACATACAGATGTATTTTTATAAAGTTTTACTGAAGAGTTGTTTGAGCAGAAATGTGGCCACTAGCACAAATAAAAAAGTGCTTCAAGCGCAGTTGATGATAGCAAGTCTAGCCACGGAGGCCAGACACATCAGTAACACCAGCAGAAGCACCATCAACACCAGCAGAAGCACCATCAGCACCAGCAGAAGCACCATCAACACCAGCAGAAGCACCATCAGCACCAGCAGAAGCACCATCAACACCAGCTGAAGCACCATCAACACCAGCAGAAGCACCATCAACACCAGCTGAAGCACCATCAACACCAGCTGAAGCACCATCAACACCAGCTGAAGCACCATCAACACCAGCTGAACAAAAGATACAGAAACATCTTAAACAGCTGTAAGAGGGCCATAAACAGTATCTTAAAACAGTTAAACTTACTAGATGCAGCATCAACAGCATCTGTAGCAGCATCAGCCACAGCAGTAATAATATAAACAATCGCAGGACAGACGTCAATAACAAATGAGACAGCTCAACCACAAAGTCAGAACTAACGTCAGCACTAACTGCAGTAAATGACAGAGGCGAGCGAAGCAGCAGCAGCAGGTCGGTCCCACACACAGCTGATGTTAAAAGAAATTCACAAACACAATCGCTAATTTGAATTGCAATTTGCAAATTAGATTCACAGTGGCATGTAACAGGAAATATTACGTCTCTTTTAGACGCATCTCTTTAAATGTCAAAGTGAGGCAGCGTAGGCCGATGATTGTTAATGTGTAACACTGTTGCAGGCGAGGAGTCACAATAACGTGGCTGAAGTATGTTGACCAGACCACACACTAAAAGGTGAAGGGACGACGACGTTTCGGCCCGTCCTGGACCATTCTCAAGTCGATTGTCTTGAGAATTGGACACAATCGACTTGAGAATGGTCCAGGACGGACCGAAACGTCCTCGTCCCTTCACCTTCTAATGTGTGGTCTAGTCAACATGTAATACTGTTGCCAGTTCTTAGCGCGACTGTTGCCAGTTGCCAGCACATTTTTGCCAGATACGAGTGAAATTTTGGCATTTTGTAAACAACAAATAGTTGGTAGATGTCCGGAAGATTGCAAGGTGAATTAACTCAACCATCCTCCGCTTAAATTCCAGCTTCATCCATCAATGTTGTTTCTTCAAAGGCCATTATAGATCGGATCTGAAACATTTGGGCAAGGTAGAAGAGGTCCCGGAACACGACCCGCACTGAACACCGTGTTTCAGCCCCTCTTGCCTTGTCGAGTCTATCATCTGTGCAGGAACGTTAAAAATGAATACAAGACAACTATTAGAGCTATTATTTTAACTGAAAAGGTAACGACAAAATTTTGGGTTTCTTAGTTTTGTACGTTTAAGAAGCCACTATGCAAAAGTGCAAAATCAACAAGAGTTCCGCGAGGCTCGGACGATATGAAAGAGTGAAAAATAACTACAAGATGAAGCATTAGAACTGAAACACGTGAAAAGTGTACGATAACGGCCTCTCAATTAACCACAGCAGACGAGACAATGAGCTTATAATGCGTGATAACAGCCAATCCGACACAGGAGCGGCGGTGGGAATAGTGCAGTAGTTGACACTGTAGTACAATCAATTACTACATTGCATTATATTGTTATAACAAATATATTTAAATAAGCGTTGTCATACGTTATAGTAACCAGTTAAGAAGCGGTGATGAATTTTGTCTCATCCTGGTAATTACATTCCATCTGGTCCAAGCAGCTGGCTCCGAGGGAAGAGAACAAGCCGCTGAACCAGCTAGTCCACTCAGCTATCTCTGAGGAAGCCAAAGAACAGTCAACAGGTTGAATAGGGCGAGAAAGGAAATAATATCTCCCAACACAACAGTTTCAGACCTTCCCAGACGGAACTCTTGCACACACTCCAGAGAGAAACGTTTTTTTGTGCTGATGTTCACTCTGATTGATTGTCCACACTTTTCAAACACACAGCCCCAACTGTACCAGACACCCTGGACACTTCAGCCCCAACTGTATCAGACACCCTGGACACTTCAGCCCCAACTGTATCAGACACCCTGGACACTTCAGCACCAACTGTACCAGACACCCTGGACACTTCAGCACGAACTGTACCAGACACCCTGGACACTTCAGCCCCAACTGTACCAGACACCCTGGACACTTCAGCACTAACTGTACCAGACACCCTGGACACTTCAGCCCCAACTGTACCAGACACCCTGGACACTTCAGCACTAACTGTACCAGACACCCTGGACACTTCAGCCCCAACTGTACCAGACACCCTGGACACTTCAGCACTAACTGTACCAGACACCCTGGACACTTCAGCACTAACTGTACCAGACACCCTGGACACTTCAGCACTAACTGTACCAGACACCCTGGACACTTCAGCCCCAACTGTACCAGACACCCTGGACACTTCAGCACCAACTGTACCAGACACCCTGGACACTTCAGCACCAACTGTACCAGACACCCTGGACACTTCAGCACTAACTGTACCAGACACCCTGGACACTTCAGCCCCAACTGTACCAGACACCCTGGACACTTCAGCCCCAACTGTACCAGACACCCTGGACACTTCAGCACCATCTGCACTATTGACCATGGAACTGTAGCCTTCGCAACCTTGGGAAGCATAAAATCAAGATTGACAAAGTTCAAAGGTTTGCAACAAGATTAGTTGCAAGACTAAGAGAGTTAAACAACGAGAATAGTCTAGTGGAGCCAAATCTCACAATCCTAGAGGATAGAAAGGATAGAGGGGGGACATGATAAAAACATAAAGGAAAATAAGGGGAATAGATAAGATGGATAAGGATAGCGTCTTCAAATTGAGAGAAAGTAGGTCAAGAGGACGCAGGTGGAAGCTGGAAACGCAAAGGAGCCGACAGAATGTCAGGAAATAATGTTATCCTGCACACGGCTGGTCAACAAGTGGAATGCACTGACGGAAGAAGTTGTGGAAACCACTTCCATCCACAACTTTAAAGTCAAAACTCGGCAAAGAATTTAAACGTTGGAATAGTTAAACTGTAACGCAACTGGTAACACAAGGTTGGTAGGCGGGGCATAGTGAGCTATAGACCTCACTCCTGGCAGTCACTGTTAGGTAAGTACCGTAGACAGTCCACTCCACGTCCACTGGTCACAGTAGACAGTCCACTCCACGTCCACTGGTCACAGTAGACAGTCCACTCCACGTCCACTGGTTACCGTAGACACAGTCCACGGCATATTTATTCGTCACCGTAGACACCGTCCTCAAGCTACAGTGTACACAACTCTACAACCACTAACAAGGACATCTCCAAACTAGCAAGTGCACTGCGGGCTCGCCGTAGCCTGTGCTACTTGGAGCTTTATGTTCCAGGTAGCGGATCTTAAACAACAACAACCATCCCCGACATTTACCAACCATCCCCGACATTTTTATCTCCGTCTCGTGTTATGTGTTTCGAATTGCTGTTTGGAAGCTTTCATTTCCCGCCCAAGTGTTGAAAGGAAATACCATTGCTTTATCGTTGTTTTCATTTGAAAGACTGATTGCTTCTGAAGTTTTGAATTTGCGAATCCTGTAGGCGATATTTCAAAGGTGTGTGTTCATGTCTGTAGCTTCAGCGTCTATTGTGGTGGAAGCAATTGTTGTCTGGCTAAAAATCTTTTTGTTTCAATGTATCTGTGTATTTGTGTGTGTGTATGGACTCACCTTTGTGTCTGCAGGATCCCCCCCACTCTACGACTTCTTATTTGTCTTTGTATTATTTTTCTCTGCTTACAGGCGCAAGAACAAAGTAGAGTAGTTAATGCATTTTTGTGGAGAAAACGGGCAGTAAAAGGAAGCCGCAGAGGACGGGTCTGAGACACTATCAGTCGCGGGGCTCAACACACACACCTCTTTGTAGTGACCGTGAGCATGTGACTCATTAGTGGGCACCTTAGGGCAGGCACAGTGCCAGCCATCGCCCCTGTGCTCGGGACTCCGCCACCCACCTACACGCGCCAAGTATGTAGGGTTGTGGAAAGTATGAGAAAGGTAACTGTATGTCTGGCTGACCCACTCCCTTCCTCCGTCACCCTTCTCCCATCACTCTTGTCCCGTCACCCTTGCCTCGTCACTCTTGTCCCGTCACCCTTGTCCCGTCACCCTAAGGTGGACATAAATATATAAAGGTTGAAAAACACGCGTCTTCCTTAAAAGTTTTGAAAATTAAACAGTAGACAAGGATATCCTTTAAGGGTCATATCTCCTTGAAGACAGAACATGACCTTTACCAACAGCCTTGCAACATCTCTAAAAGTTGTTTTACGTGTTTGTTTTCCTTTTATAGGTTTCAATAAAACAACGTTAAGTGATATATGAAACTTTATATTGCAAATAAAACATGCAACCTGGTTGTCTGACCTGAGGAACTGCTCTACCACCTTCCTAATGCCAGCCTCAGAACAGGGCCAAGATTCATGAAGCATTTATACAACCACTTGCGAAACCTGTATATCTTTCCACAATCATAGTGATTTTGTTTATTTATCAAACACTTTACTAGCTTCGAAACGTCATAACCCAAGGTTATTATTGTTATAAACAATCTCGTATCGCTTCGGAGCTCATAAACTGCTGAATGTAAAAAGGCCCGCCATGATGTACAGGTTTCGTAAAAGGTTGCGTACGTAAATGCCTGATGAATCCTGGCCCTGGTTGATATCCACAACTGGAATTATCTACTCGATATCTACAGCAGTAGTTTGTTTCTTGAATTCTACAGCTAGCTTTTCCTTGGTAAAAATTTTATAGTTATGGTTAGCTTGTTCCATTGCCTTGCTTTTCGATATGACTGCTGCGCCATTAACTAGTATCGTCCTTGTCCGCATTACCTATTTTTCCCAGTATCTTAAATGTAGTGATCATATTCCCTCTGCCCCTTCTTTCCTCAATAGGTGTGAGATTTAGTTCCCTTAACTTGTCGTCGTAGCTCAACCCTCTTAGTTCTGGCACAAATCTTGTTGCTACCCTCTGCGGTTTCTCAATTCCTGAGAATCCTGGAGTATGCTGCCCCCCAGCCTTACTCGTACTCTTAACAAGCACAAGATGAAGCTGGAAAAAGTTCAGAGGTATGTCACTAGGCTAATCCCAAAACTAAGAGGCATGAGTTACGAGGAAAGGCTGCGAGAACTGCATCTCACGACGCTGGAAGAGCCGACGCTCAACCCCCACAAGCACAACTAGGTGAATAAAACTACGTGAGCACGCACGCACGCACACACACACACACACACATACACACACCTGGCAGAGCTAAGAGTTTTTTTTTCTTTTTTGCAGGAATATTCCTGCGCGGGCCCTAAGCCTCTGGCTGGCCCACTAGCTAAGAGAGCTAACCTACAAACAAGCTAATGGAACTAAATTTCTCAACACTAGAGGATAGAAGGAACAGAGGGGGATATGATCTCAAATCTCAACCTACAGAACAAAAATAGCCTCCTTGCCCTGCTTTCTCTTAGACTGAGAGATTAAGAGAAAGCAGGACAAGAGGACACAAGTGGAAGCTGGAAACGCAAACGTGCCGAAGGAACGTACGAAAGTACTCGGACCCTGTACGGGCAGGTAACAACTGGAATGCTCTAAACGAGCAAGTTGTGGAAGCAAACTATCCACAACTTGGATAGTTGTGATTCGACAAATCACAAATCGAGTTGTGATAGCCTGATTCGACAAAGAATTTGAAAGTCAGAGTAGTTAAGTTAAAACGCAAGAGATACAATGCTAGTAGTAGGCGGGGTATAAATGGCTAGAGCTCCCTACCCCGTAGTGAAGTACTGAGAAGCAGCTAGGGGTCAGTACACACCAAGAGCAACGTCTCATGGACCTCAGGGAGGCTAAACTTATCATCAGAGAACACAACATTAGGAGCAAGTGTACAGAGTCCGCCGCCTCAATCACCACAACACCACCCAACACGGTGAAAGAAATATAATAATAATAAACAAATATAAAAACAGCAATAATGATTTTAAACAAATATAATAATAACCAAATAATGATATTATTATACAACATAATAATAATAATAATAATGTAAAACATATATAATAACAATCTTAAGACATATATAATAAAATTTACACTAGCGATACCAATAATAATAATGGTGCAACTGTCAACATCTCCATAATGAATTAATACCTGAAACACCTGAAGACAAAGAAGAAAAGTGAAGATCATCAGGTAGGAGGAGAGTGCATCCCTTGAACCAGACTCCCCTTCCTGATCCTCCTGGACAAACAGAATCAAACCCACTAGCTGTCCCAGTTTAACAAGCCAGATGACTTTATCAAACGCTCTAGGACTTTTATTCTCCCCTTCGACTTGTTAGCGAAACATCAAACAACAGCCAAGTTGATCCATTGGGGGGAAGAGAATGTGAGGGTACTCACCTAATTGTGCTTGCCGGGGTTGAGCTCTGGCTCTTTGGTCTCGCCTCTCAACTATCAATCAACTGGTGTACAGATTCCCGAGCCTACTGGGCTCAATTAAATCTACATTTGAAACTGTGTATGGAGTCAGCCTCCACCACATCACTCCTTAATGCATTCCATTTGTTAACTACTCTAACACTGAAAAAAATCTTGTTAATGTCTCTGTGGCTCATTTTCAACACTTAAGTTTCCACCTGTGTCCCCTTGTTCGTGTTCCACCCGTGCTAAATAGTTTGTCTTTGTCCACTCTGACAGTTCCTCTTCAAATTTTGTAGGTGGTGATCATGTCTTCTCTTACTTTTCCGTCTTCTGCTGTAAAGGGTTCTCCATCGTTCAACTAATCCGTTACGGAGTAAAAAGCACAACTCCTAACCAAAACATAGACCTAATCACATTTTATAAAACAAAGAATTCTACCGACCTCCTTATTAAAAAACACAGCCCGAAGCCGACGGAGAACCCTTTACAGCAGTCAGACGTGGTATACATGTACACTTGCCCCCACGAAAGATGTAACCTTCAATCTAAGTACATAGGTATGACGTCGACCAAGCTCACGAGGCGCTTGACCTGTCATCTTCATTCAGGTGCCCCTAAAAATCACATGAGACAAAACCGAAGATGTAAGAGGAGTACAAATTCTTGAAGCAATCGACATAAAAATAAAACAACCCACTATAAATACCGAAATTATAAATTATGGACCTATTCATTTTACCCACCATGAGAGTAAGAACAAGACCAGAACGTGAAGATGCCAACATAGAAGACACTGCTCAACATGCCACGCCCACTACACCTGATTAATCTTTGTATGTGCTTCCCCCCTTTTTTTGTACTTTATTCGTCCCTATTTACTTCCCCCCATTTATTATTCTTCCCCCTTCCCCTTTATGCCGTTTTCCTCACCTATTTGTATTATGTACCTGACCTTCTTAAAGATATAAATCAAATACGCCCAGTACAGTTCAACTCTTTACGGGCTATTCATGCCCGCGCCACCTCTTGGGTGGCTTAATCTTTATCAATAAATCATCTACAGTCCAATGAGTTACAGCCCCGCTCCTGTGCCAGGTAAATCCACTACGGGCTCACCATAGCCCGTGCTACTTGGAACGTTTTGTTCCGAGAAGCTGAATCT